GTTGGATACAATAAACTCTAGATTATTTATCTGATGCAATTCGGTTAAGAAATGAAGGTCAAAATACATTTTGTTAAAAAAAATAGAATTTGGTTATAATTAAAAAATTTATTAATAATTTAACTTTTAAAGTTGGAGAAAATCATATTTTAGGTTAAATTAAAATGTAACGTTTTCGATATTTGTATAATTTTTTTTGTTATAAATCCTAAATACTATAATGTAACATTTTCGATTGCAATTAAAAATATTATAAATTTGTATTTTTTTAGTGAACCTTAAAACCATCTCAATGTAACATTTTTTTATTTCAACTTAAAATAATATATTTTTATATATATTTATAAGTTGGATACGATAATATTTTAGGATGCGTTTGGTTCACGAAATATAAAATTAACGGTGGGAATAAGATTACCGGCGGAAATAAGATTACTGAGAATATTGTATTTGTGTTTGGTTCGTTTAGCAGGAATAATATTATAGTGTTTGGTTAAAGGAATAAAAGATTATTAGAATGTATATTTTACCAATTTGTCCTTATTATATATTTGTTTTTTTTAACAAGTTGAATTCTATTATAATATTACTATAATTAATTTATATATTTTCTTTAAAAATTTTAAATTCATATAATTTTTTTACAAAATTAAAAAGATAAATAGGTTTAATGAAAGGGTAAAATTTTATTTTAACCCCTGAACTTCATATAAAATTCTAATTATGGATTTTTTTGTAAATCTAAAATAGTTTAAGGATAAATTTGTAATTTAACCTTCGTAGAATTTTTTTATTCAACGACAAAAGAATGATATTTTTGAGAAAAAAAATTTAAGGGCATTTTAGTTCAAAACGTCGGGAATGTAACAATACCTAAGGAATGAGAGTAATCACATTCCCAGTAATATATCCCAAAATACCACTGTTGAGAATAACTTATTACCAAAGATTGTGAATGTTTTCTAACTAAACGGGAGAATGACATTCTATTCATCTGATAATGTAAAATACATTAAACCAAACACCCTTAAGTTAAAAATTATTTTTAATTAACTTTAAACCACCCGTGAAAAGACCATTTGAGATTAAGGCTGTGAATTCAACAAGCTGATTGGAGGATTGGTGATGAATTCAGACATCGCAATTACTCATTGTTTCCCTTCTGGAAAAGCTGTTTACATGAACCCATATATTCCTGAAGTGAGAAGCAAGCGTAATCTCAACAGCAAAATAACAACTTTTTTTGGATTTACTAAAGAAAACTTAAGGGTGCGACTGGTTCACGGAATATAAGATTATCAGTAGAATAAAAGATTATCAGGGAATAGGATTACTGGGAATATTATATTACTGTGTTTGATTGGTTTGGCAGGAATATAAGATTACAGTGTTTGGTTGAAGGAATAAAAGATTACTGGAATGTATATTTTACCAAATTGTCATTGTTCTATATTTTTTAACAAGTGAAATTCTAAATATTTAAATAAAAATTATTTATATAAAAATTATATTTGTTGATAATATATTACTTGAGTATTTAAATATATCATGTATTATTTTAATTTTAATTAATATTAAATTTTACATAATTTATGTAAAAATATATTAAATTTTACATCAACATTTAACTAAATGTTTACATTGTGAAAACTAGCTTCAGTTTATACGTGACACATTCACTGGGAGGTTTTTATTTCCATTTATTTTTTATTTGTGTTTAAGAAGTTTTAATTTCTTCTATTTTATTTTCTCATGTTCGATTTTGTCTCGAATTGTTATTTTACGTAATAATCTTAAGATAAAGTAAATTCTTTCTTTCTCTTTAATGTTATAATGATATTTCAATCATTATTATTTTTCATTTCATTCTCGGATTAATGAATTTTTCCAACAATCTTAAAACATGTTATTATCTCATTTTTCTACCTTTCTTAATCCGAGATAATTCAGAAATTGTGAGAAAATCGAAATAACAAATATTTATCATGTTGTCTTACAAGTTTGTTAAAATCTCAAAGTGGACAAACCTATCTAATAGAAATTATCATGAACGTAACTTTGGTTACTTTTTTTTAATCGACAAAAGTCAAATTTTATTAATAAATACCAATCTAGTTCAAAGCCTCATTAAAAACCTCTATAAACCTAATTAGAGGAAAATAGTACTTTGAACCAGAGCATAAAAAAACACACTAATATGCTAACTTCCTAAAACATATAACATCCAAGCAACAAGAGGATAAAACTTAACTAAACTACATAGGAATTACAATATGGGATTTTAAACCCAAATCACTAGCAACCTTTAAACCTCTTGGACACACACAAGGACAACAACTCTAAACAGTATACACCACCAGCAACAAGCAAACACAAACTAATTTAACACCACTGTACGCTAATTATCAGCCAAAACCAGCATAACAACATCACAACAAGGCCACACTATGGTAGAGGCAAACTAATTTGCAGTAGCGAAAACTACAAGTAAAAAACATCTTGAACAGAAGAAAAAACAATAATCTCAATAACTTCAAAACCTTTTATCCAGCAGAGAGCATCCACAAAGAGCCTTACACCTTGTGACTTCAAAACAACAAGATTCCAAGGCATGAAAAATACTTAAAGACGACCACACTTTACACACTTTACACACATGAAAGTAGATACCTCGAGTGCTTCATCTTAGCTGGTATTAATCAGGATTTTTTTAGACATTAGTCATTTTTGTCACTGCACCACATGTTCATTTGAAGTTTGAAGTCTTAATCTCATCCTCCAAGCTTATGAGAGCTCAGTCCTCGACAATCCTACCCTGGTTAACTAATCTACCAAAACTTTTTTATCCTCTACCCCTGAACAATTATGATGCATTCCTTCAATTCCATCAGATTCATAGCTAAGATGTAAACAACCAAGATCTATAAATCACTCTTTTTCGACATCACATCGGTTATCCAAACCAAATCTATATTCGTATTTGATGTGATCAAATTTCTGCACAATCAAAGCCTACACTCAACCATTAACCAGAAAAGACAACAAAGGAATTGCACTCAACCCAAAATGATTCTCCTAGAAAAATACTCCACTCACCCACTAAAGAAAACCAAAACAAAGTTCAAACCTTAAAACTTCCCAAACCATAACTGATCCAAGAAAAATTACCCACAAAGTTACCCATAGTCTTGGTAGCAAATCAAAAACCAGAAAACTTTCACACTCAAAGCCAAGAACATTCATTCGCAAGATGATCAATCAAAATAAAACCATGGAAATCGAGGCCAACAGTCTTATCAAGCTTACACTAGTACAAACCATAACAATTTGGTTTCAAGTAATGTGTATTGGCAATGACCTTAGAAGCAAAATACAACTCCACCAAAACGAACATCAGATTTACAAATTGATTCGGTGTAGCATGGGATAAACTATCCTTGAGCTCTTTACCCCATTTAAACACCGTTAATAGCAAACAAAACATCAAAACATACAGCCAGAATTACAAAAAAAAAACGCCTACACAACCCCTCCCCTTCTAATCAAGCTTACTATTAAATTCTAGTAGAGTCAAATCCTTAATTACCTCAAGTTCATTTCCAATTACTTGAATCCCTAGATTTTTACCTAATTCCAGCATCTCTATTGCCTCCCTCTTAGCAGCTTTCTACATAATCTTGATCTCGAAATCTGATTCGAACCGGCCGGACAGTTCAGAGGATTCCAAATTTAAGCCCTTTATCTTACTTTTCTTTATAGCTTTGTCTCATCTTCTTTTATTCGCTTTTGAGAGTTCTTTGTCTTGAATATCAAGTGATGAGCCAAATTTCCTTCTTTCTTTTCTTCTACCATTCACGTTTTTAAGTTCTGAGAAAAGGGACATGGTGTTTCCTCCAAACTACGCTCGACATTCTCCTCATCACAATTTTCTTTCAGCCATAACCAAGCGGGGAGAAGGGTACTTTAGACAACGGGGACTGGGAATAAGCAAATACCTAAGAGAGATGAGGGTATGACATTCCCGAGAAAGTAGGAAAAAATACCACTGTTGGTATTCATTCTTTACCTGCACTTGGGAATGTAGTCCATCCAAACATGGGTATGGTTACCTGGAAAAAAACATTCCTCCTAGGAATGAAATATGACATGAACCAAACGAGGCCTAAAGGTAAGAAAAAGAAATGCAATACCATTAAACTTATGAACAAAGAACCCGAATGTTTCCTCGATTATAAGTGTTATTTTGTTGAATTTTATGATTATTTAAAATTATCACTAACTATAAAATGTTATTTTATTGAGTCCTCTAACTATCAAAAGTTATAAAATAGTCACTCAATTATTTATATAATCCAAATTTGTTCTTTTCTGTTAAAAAAATTGGTAGTCGTCTGAGCTGAAAGTTAACTTGTTCAATGAGATATGATAAAATTTGATTCCAGAATCCTTCGAGCTATATTTTGTGGATTGAATCTCTGTTTACATTATGTGATCAAGTCAGTGCTTAAAACATTATGTTATCTAGTCAATGCTTGAAAGAAACGGTGATATCGATAGAAATCATTAAAATATAATTCTATCATATCTTGATCAACATGTTAATATTCAATTCAGACGACCAAAAACTTTTTTAAGAAAATGACGAATTTATAACATATGAATTATCAATTGATAATTTTATAATTTTTAATAATTAATGAATTTAATAAAATAATATTTTATGGTTAGAAGATTTTTTATAACATTTAATAATTGAAAAATAACGCCCTATAATCGGGCACAAACCCTAAACTTGTTCGAAAAGAAAGAACAACAAAATCAATCTAGTTATCAAATAGAGAGAGCCACATCATAGATCAGATTCAGGCTATCTCACATTCTCATACAGTGCCACATGACATTCTCTAGTTTATATGCTATTTTTCAAAACCAAACAAAATTTCTTCTTCTTCATTCCCTCTCTCCTTGGCCCTATTCTTCATGTGCTTTTCCTCGTGTTTCTGCAACTATAAGTATGGTGGAGATGTTGAGGAGACTCAAGCAGCTGCAACGGTGCCAGTAATGAAAGAGTAGTCTTGAGCTTTGTTCGAAGATTTCGATTTCCTTTGTTCCTTATTTATCGATAATTTCATTGAGGAAGAAAGGTCCCGGTTCTTTTCCATGGCTTCATCCGTCTCTATTTCTTCTTGTCTGCACTCTTCACTACAGAATGGCGTGTCCCCTCTGCAAGATTTCATCAATAATAATAATTTCAAACCAAAACAAAAAGAAAATCTTGTTTTCTAAGATTCATGGTATCTTTCAAACCTATACATGAAGATGTCTCGGTTAGCCCCAAGAGGATTCTTGCAAAGAAAACAAGCATCCAAGAAATGGGGCTGATGATCTTCGAATCTGCCATCGTAAAACCTAACAAACCTCGAACAAGAAGACGATGATGTCAAATTCCTCAAACTAGTCCTCCTTGAGAAAAACCCATTTTGGTTAAAACCATGGTAGTGGGTTCCCGAATATCCAGCTTCCATATCTGCAAGAGAAGCCAACCCATCATCCTCTTCAATGAAACAAGGCCTACTTGATGAACCAGAATACTCCATTTGGGACTTAAGGAAAGTTCTGGGTTTTAGTTGGAAGAAACTGAAGAGTAAAGAGAAGAAGATGAGTGGGTGAAGAAATGATGGAAATTTTATAGATGTCTTCAAAAAGATTACAAACAAATAGCAGGTTTCAAGAATCCGAGCAGGTGATTCAATTGGCTTAAAAATACATGCTTCTCTAACTTCGAAATTACTTCGGTTGTGCACCCTTCATGTTTCTTTGACCGACTTGAAATACCATAATGCCATTGATCTTGATGTGATAAATAAATTGTTGTACGACTATTTAAAGATGATGAAAGCCAATTTAATAAACGTAATAAACAAATTGATTAGTTACACAATTTATATTAAAAGTAAGAGTAAATTATGATGTGACACTTTAAAATCATTATCTTCCCAAAAAAAATTTAAGTTTCTCAAATAAATTATGAGCCACTGACCACTTTTTCCATACGCCTTCGTCGTTTAATATTTTTTAATCGTTGTCGCCTCTAAACACAGCACACATCACACTCAAAAGTTCATCTTCTTATGACAGTCAAACCATTCATCATCATCATTTCATCAAAATCTTAAACACCATAACCACGAGCCATAATCACCATCCACGACTAGACCAACCTTGAGTCACCATCACCATCCTATTTTCTCATCGTTCACATCCACAATCACCAATAAATCAAACAACAAAAAACATAAAAACTAGCAAAAAATTAAAGAAAAAAATAAGAGAAAAAGAATAATACATATCTCAGTTTTGGCAAGTTTATGATGAACAGAGCGATCATCGGTCAATTTTAACGGTAAGAAGGCTCTGTTTAGGTAATATAGTTTGGTCTTAAGTTGATCTAACAGTTGACAATGATAAATTAGAAAGTTTTAGCTTTTAGTTTTAATTGGTATGTGAGGAGAATATAATGTTTTTACGATGAGTTTGAACTAATTAAAAGAAAAGAAAAAATGAGTAGTTTGATGATCATTTTACTTGAAAAATCATTTAACAATGATAAAAAAATGACGAAGAAAATAGGACTGACGGTTGCTAATTTCAAGTACGAGAAACTTATGGGTTTTTGAGAAGAAGATACTTTAACGTGCCACATTAATATTTCTTAAATGCAACTAAAAGCAAATTAAAAGTTCAATGATTATATTACAAGTTTTAGAAATCTAATGAACAAAATACAAGTACCCTAAGATTTAAAGACTAATTGTATAATTTACTCTAAAATAAAATGAGGTCAACAATGAATTCTTTAAAACCATTTTTTCAAGGATACCATTCAATTTCAGTTTTTTAGTAGCATTAAATATAAGATATAAAAAATAATTAATTGAGATTATGAAAATGCAATGGCAGTTTCTTGATTTGGGAAAAATGAAGGGGCAAAAAAGGATAAAAAAGTTTTGCAGGTCTCCTATTTTTCGAGTGAATAGAGTATTCAGTAAACAGATCCCAAGGCTTTCGTATTCTACAGTATTTTGAAAATCGGATTGATCGGTCAGTTCAACCGGGAATCGCTATCTAGTCCGGTTCAAACTACACTGGTTGAACCGTTACTAGTGAACCGACCAGAACCGTTGAACCGTTCGAATCGGACCGGCTGAAAAGCGGGAAAAACCGGGAAAAACCGGAAATTTTATTTTTTTTTTTTTAAAAAAATTAACAAACGACGTCGTTTGTTAAACGAGCCAAGTCGAACTCGAGTATTGCTGAGCTCAACTCAAACTTTAAAAGTAAGCTCAACTCGACTCAAACTCACGAACTAAAAATTATCAAGTTCAACTCGAACTCGAAATATAATATTGAAACTTGAACTCGAAAAGGCTTGAACTAAAAAAAAATTAGAAGCTCGATTGAAGCCTAAAATTCGAGCTTAATTGAAGTGAAAGAATAGTTCACTCTATGCTCACCAAAAGGCTCCATGATTTTGAATGCCAAATTACCTCTATTATTTATAGAAGTTAGTTAGGATGCTTTCTATGTTTCTTAGCCATGTGAGATTGTTTTGTTCTCATATTTTTACTCTTTAGATTTTTTGGATGTTCTTCTATGTTTCTTAGCCATGTGAGATTATTTTTAAAAAAAAATTAAACCAAACAATATCATTTTGTTATGATTTTTTTAGCCCAAATTTATTTTTTAATTATAGTTATATAATTATATTTATTATTTAATATGTTTTACCTTAAATATTATGTTATAGTTAATTTGAATCATTTTATTTCACTTGATTTTATGGTTTTTAACTTATATATGTTATGACTTGCTTTGAATATAACTTGTGATATATAAAATTATTTTTTATTAAATATTTTTGTATTTTTATTTAATTTTTTAAATAATTATGACATCATCCGGTTCTTTTGACCAATCGAACCAATTCGACTGATTGAACTATTGAACCGGTAACATGACCGGTTCGCTAACCGATCCGATTCTGAAAACCATGATATTCTAACGTCAATATCTGACGCTGGTCCCACGCTCGCAGCGTGCGCGTTAACGTAACGATCTCACCTGCCCGAATCTTTCGCTCCAATGCCGGTTTGGTTTTACCAATGACTTCGACATTGTCCAATTTCCAAACATACAACTCATTTATTGGTCTCTTTTTATTTAATTTTTTTTATTATTCTCTCAATTTTTTAAGATTTTACTCTAATTAATTCAGATCAATATGTATCGTACATATAATTTTGGTAGATAAATTTTTCAATGAAAATTCTGTACATACATAAGATATCGAACTAAAAACTTACTTAAACGATATTAAATTGATTATCACTTGAATCAATTTTATTAATTTTAAATTTTAATTATAAAACTAATGTAATTTGTTTATTTAAATATTTGTGAGACGAATGCATACCAAGAAATCGAATCTCAATGTTACTATTCATCACCCCAAAGGAAATGTCTATAACAGAGTTTGTAGCATGTGAATATACGGAACTTTATCGGAAATATAAATATATTAATGGTTGCTTAGTTGAGTAATAATTCAATAAAACATTATGTTGTGTGTTAAGTACGTAAAAATCCCTTAAATTATTGACATAATGTTAAAATTAGCCCTCAATGTTTATTAATATAGTTGTTTTACTTTCTATTATTTTTTAGAATAATTTAGTCACAAAATTTTATTTTAAGACAAAAAGGTATTTCTATGAATGAAAACCATTAGTTAACAAATCACTACATTGTATAATAGAGGCCTTTTTATATTAAAATAAAATGTTGAGGGTCAAAATGATCTACAAATAAAAAAAATAAGGACAAAGTAATTATTTGATCAAACATTAGGGTTCTTTTTGCTTAAAATAAAATATTGAGGTTAAAATGCTTAAAATAAAGAATAGAAACTAAAATAATCATTTTAGTAAATGTTATAGCTATTTTGACATTATGCCTAAATTATTTATTCATCTTATTCATTTTTTCGAAATGACCATCTAGCTCAGTTGGTAGAGCACAATGTTCTTTACCTTGAGATCGTGGGATCGAGTCTCATGGAAGACATTTCATAATTTGGAGGTCTCCTACGGAAGTTGCTCTCAACCTAGTGTTGAGGGCAGCTTACTATCTTACCTCCCCCTTACCCCATTACATATGGGAACAAGGGACATCCATTTTTTATTCATTTTTTCGAACATAAAATTATATTATTGACGTTATTTTACCAAATATACACCCATTTAAAAATAATTTTCCATTCTAATGTCTATTGAAGATTTTTTTTTTAATTTAATACCCTTTTATATCACGTAGGCAGAAGACGCATTCTACAGCAACATATACACATGTTAAATTGAAATGAAATAACAAGAAATTTGGTGCCAAAAATATGGAAAAAAATCATACAAATTTTGTAAAAAAAACATAAATGTGCGCGATGCTCGTCAAAGCCATGTAATTGAACAAATAGAAACACGAGTATGAGCAATGTAGGATTTGAGAAGCTTACGAGATTTTCGAGTCTCATATTGTTTAAATATGTGAGTCTTCAAGTGTTTAAATATGAACTTTTAAACATGCATTGAAAATCCTTTTTAAGAAGAGGAGGTGTGGTTTATTATAAAGTCGTCCGATGGTTCAAGAACACTAGGACCAGATAGTTTCAGCTTGGACTTTTTAAAGAAGTTCTGGAAGGTAATTAAAGGCGATGTTATGAAATTCATGGCTGATTTCTATTGTGGCAGAATAGAAGATTTTCCATTCAAAAAATTGTTCATTGCCCTCATTCTGAAGAAAACCGAGGCTACTAACCTTGAGGACATTCGACCTATCTCCTTGGTGGGGTGTATATACAAGATAGTGGCTCATGTTTTGGCTAAGAGGATGGCGAGTTGCATTAACGAAGTGATTGGTGAAAATCAGTTTGCTTTTATTGTGGGTAAGAAGGTTTCAGACTATGCTCTGATTGCGAATGAAGTTATCGACGATTTGTTCAAAAGTAAGAAAGAAGCTGTGTTATTCAAGGCTGACTTTAGCAAAACATATAATATTATTGATTGGAAGTTTCTGAATTTTATCCTCAAGAAAATGGGCTTTGGAAGGAGATGGAGGAAATGGATAAATTTGTACATATTGACCCCTTCAATTGTTGTGTTAGTTAATGGTTGTCATTCTCCTAATTTTTCATTAAAGAGCGGTTTAAGACAAGGTTGTCCATTGTCACCTTTTATGTTTAATATTACGGGAGAGGCTCTCAGTGGGTTGTTAAAGAAAGCGATTGAAATTGGTATATGTGGTGGAATTAGAATAGGGGATGGAAGCGCTATAGTGTCACATATTCAATTTGCAGACGACCTCCTAATATTTTCGGAAGCAAATGGCAGGATGATCAAGAATATCAAGCAGGTTTTAAATATCTTCGAAGTGGTTGTTGGTCTGAAATTAAACATGAAAAAGACAAAATATTTGGTATAAATATGGAAGAAAATAGAGTGAAGAGATGGACAGATTCGATATCATGTGGTTCGGCAATCCTCCTTACAACTTACTTGGGTCTCCCACTTGGGCATAAAACGAAT